TTAATATTTAAGTACATTTTTAAAGAGCAAGTTGTGTACTAATTTAGAATTGCTATATTATTTCAGGCTTGTTTATTATTATCTTTGGAATCACTTTATTCACCAGCTTATCAGATGGCTCTTGACATGTTACATAGATTGAATACAGCTCATGAAGAGATTGTTGAAGTTTTGCTTTCCAAGAAACAAGTCATCCCATCTATGAGGCAAGTATAACAAAACTGTTAACGTAAATATATCACACCCACATGTGTTGTTTCTGGTTTACAAATATATTGCATAGCATATATGTTGCTTTCAGCTGAACCAATTATGTATTGTTAGCTTTAATATCATGGTAAACTACCTAGTATCAAATTTAATGGTAACAAMATGATCCATGTTTTTATGTCAGTTTTATACAATATTTCAATGTTTCAGTGAATTGTCAGTATGTAAATGTAAAATATTAAATAATGCAACTCAATATACTCTTAAATCACTTAAATAATTGTATCCTAATCATCATACGTACAAATACACTTCATTCTTACCTTTTTATGTTTAATCATAGGTTAGGTTAGGTTAAAAAAAAAAAATTAATTTACTATGTAATTTAAAAGTAAGAACACCAAATTGGTTTATTAAATTAAATGTTATGCTGTTCTTTTGTAAGACAGAAAATARCATGCAGCCAAATAATTATGCCATCCTCTTCAGACATTTATATCCTGTCAGCCCTAGGTGCTCATTTTTTAAAATACTTCAGCAGGTATTGCTGATGAAATAAGTATCCACATTAATGTAGTGAAATAAATAGCTTAACCAAATAAGGCTTAAGGCCTTTATCATATAAAATTAATGCTCTTTAAAGTATTTGTTTATGTTTTGAATTTACAGATATATGTCACAACACAATATGCTAGATCATTCTACTTATAGRAAATTGACCGAAATCGCAATGTCAACTGATAATTCAAAAATATTGCATTCTACTAAAGAAGAATTTATACAAAGAAAAGTAACCTCAAATGATGAACTTGACACAAATACCAAAGGATAGTTTTAAAATWAGTTTAATAAAATATTTAAGCAATATGACTATTATTTAACAATGTATTAAAATTTAAATACTTGATATTTATAGTTTCAGAATACTTATGTTATTACTTTAAATCATTTATTATTTATTTATTTTTGTTAATACAAATATTTTGTTATGATTTATTATAAATAATTGTATTGCTGATTTTATCTTTTAAAATAAGACAATAAATATAAATATAAAGCAGGGATATTTTTATAAAACTATATCCAACCACCAATTTTAAAAATTCATTAAATTTACATTAATAATGGTTGTCTATTCTGAATATAAAAGAAAAAATAACTTAATTCTATCGGCTTCTATTAACCATATTAAAAATAACCTCATTTCAAAAAAAAAAAAATTTAATACCATTACTCRAGTATTATTAATAGTAACTCATATAATATTAAAATGTACTTCTTTGTACGTATTTTCTAATAAACCTTTAACTTTATCATTTCTGATGGTTCAGAAGTATATTTTAMCAACTTAACTTTTGTTATAAATGATTTGATTGTTTACTCTGCTAGCTTTAATAAAAGCAAAAAAATATGAAGATGGTACATTATTAAAAAAAAAATTACATAAGTTTGTAGATATAATTATACACTGATAACATTATTATTTAATTATTTATTATAATCATAATTGTCACTATATTATTATATATATATGTATAATGGGTGTATAATTTTTATATTATCAATAAATATACATAAGCAGTTATAATTAAAAGTTTGATTTTAATAATATTATATTTTAAATTTAAACATATTTTGATATTTAAGATTCTATCTGCTATTACAAATTAGTTACATTTATTAAATATACAGTTGCTAGTTTAAAAATTGAGTTTATTATGAAATATTACAATCATAAAATTATTTTATATAATATGTGACCAGCATGTAAATAGTTTCCAATTAAAAGACATAATAATAATAATAGTATAAAATATACGATAGAGAAAAAGGCAATACAAAAGTTATCATTTTCAAAACACCTTAACCTAATGGCTATAATAATAGTATATTCATTACTCATTACAACCAGGCGCGCCATGTTGGACTTTCATAACATAATATTTCTTTATGGAAAGCTTGGTTTATGAGATCAGGAATCTGAAAGTATAATTAAAATAGTTGTTATAAAATAAAAACCATCGAATGTGATTAATAATATTATTCTAGAAATATTACTGGATTGTGCGTTGAAGAATATTTTAGTTTATTAAAATTGTTTAGTATATACTTTAAGTTTTCATCAACTATTTCAAAAATGCTCATCTCATTCCTTGATATTTTCTTGCAAGTTTTCTAAAATAAATCACAATATTGAATGAATACAATTCTGTAGTTCATTTTCAGCATACTTAATACTTGATACTTAAAAAGTGTTATTGCTGTTTACAGCAGAAAACCAGTTAAAAATCAAAATTTAGTTAAAAATAAATTCAAATTAATTAATGAGTCAATTATAATTTTGTTTCATTAATTTTAATATTATTTACTATGTTTATATGATTGTGTCAATGTGGTTAAACATAACATATTACTAAAAATAATTTTATAGCTAGTTTTCATACACATATAATGTACCTTACAAAATATCCAAAATTACTATACAAATATAATATTAGGAATAATAATTATTAGTATTTATTAAATTATAGGTACTTCATTAAATATATTTTAAAACTAAAACATATACCAAAGTCATTGGATTACTTACAATATTATAATAAGCCATAAATTCATCCTTCAATAATAATCTTAGTACAACACTAAAATCGTCAATATTGTTGATTAAGCAATTGCCAGTTACAGTAATGCAATTTATCATTTGATATTTACGATAAGGTGTGATAAACTTTGTCAAATTTGGTGTTAAACGAAAAGGTATTATGTGATTTTGAACTAAGTTTCCTGTAAAGATATAAGTATTGTTTTTTAAGCACAAGCCACAAATATACTCAGTGTTGAATTACTGACCATGAACTTCACTCAAATTAAATCTATAGAATAAAGCAACAGCAACTCCATTATTTTTGTCAATATTCAGCATCTCAGGCTTCAATTTGATAAGGTTAAATGCATACTCAAAGAAACAAAGAAGTGAGTAATTTTCAACAAACTAAAAAATGTTAATTAAAGATAATTGTATTACAGTTATATTTTTAAAATAATTATAAGTATAGATTTTATATAAAATAGTAATATATAATATTTCATTCTAAGCATATTACTTACAGTTTTGCGGAATGTCCAATAATCTGATTGCAATGGGTATATCGATGAAACCCAATTTTTCAGCACTTCATCTGAGCCATATTCGTTGCCTACTGTAAGTAAACATTCCATTAAAGGCTGAGTCCTCTCAGTCTAGAAAACACAACATAAAGACATTTAAATTTTGAGAAATTTAAAAATATATACAATATATTTGACCTACAATAATACATGTACTCAATACTGAAAACCAAAAATCAATATCTTCATGAATCCATGACACTTTAGACTTATTAGGCCTTTTTTTCATTTCTGTGTATATTTCAAATAGTGAAAATATTGAGTTCTTTTTAGTTTCAACCATTCTTAAATTTGGTGCGATTGTGAATGTATTGGGTATAGAAAACATTAAATGTCTCTTAGCAGTTTCCTATAACAAAATTTTTAATTTTTAATTAAATACAATTTCAACTATGAAAACTTAAAATCTAATTTACTCTATATTTATCTAAATTACTTTAAAATCATGCAAATAGCTATTTGCTACACGGAATAATTGAAAAACTCTATCTTCAGATTCAATTGCCTGGCCTCTCGAAATATTATAAGTATATATATGACCATCAGTTCCACGAATAGACAACTGTTTAAAAACAGTGCCATTTTTATCAATAAGATGTACATGACCACTGAAATTATGTATTCTGACAGCCCCAGAAGAATCCTAAAACATTAATAGTCACAAAAAGTATTGGAATAATTGATCAAACAGTTAATTAATTAATRATAATATTTTTAATTTTTTTTAARCCATTACGTCAATATAATAGTCGCTGGGTATCCTTATAACAGACCAATCAAATTGATGGATTGTGGGACATCGAAAATGATGAACGAATCTCGCTGGATAATTCGATTTGTCTTCAATGTACTTGATCCATTTTTTTAGTTGAATTATCAATAGTTTGATAGTAGAAACTGAAGTAGAGCTGAAATCTGACGAAAACTTTTGCTTGAAGAATGAATAACATACTGACAAATTATCCGGGACAAAAAATGTTTTCTTCATTTGCAATTGTACTAAGTTAAAAAATAAWAAATATGTTAATTTTACATAACCAAAGGCTAAAACATTCATGATAGCAATAAAATGCAGAGGGATAGTTTAACAGCACTGCCAAGACAATAAGATTTTACCATTTCAAAGAAACGTAACATCGCAGCAATGTGTAT